AATAATTCATGGCAAGAAGTTTAGGAATTTTGAAACTAAAGAACTATACAATAGTATCTATAGCAATAGCAAGGTACAGAAATTCTCCTACCTCCTTGCAAGAACTTCATTGGGTAAACTATGGCGTGATACCGGTCTAAGCTTAGTGACACGAGGACGTAAGTTGAGGCATATAGCAGGACAACCTGGGGAAGAAGGCATACAAAAACGCACTTGAGACACATTTATTGTAGAAAATAATGTCAGGGAGAACAGTGAACTGAGAATATTTGAAAACATTTACTAAAAAAAAAAAGAAAATGTATTTTCACGCAGATCTCTTTCCTTTATCTTTTCCACAAAATTTAAGATTTAATATGCTTTAATTAAAATTATTTTAAATTTAAATGACCACTTTTAACATTTAGCCCTTTTGATGCTGGAAAAATGTCTATACAGCATTTTTGGTGGAGTTTATTGCTGTGGTGACATAAAGCCATGTAAGCTTGGTCACACAGGGGAGCATGAGGTTTCCATACCTGGAAATACCGCACAATTCTGCAAACGATATCAGGAGCCATGAAGTCTCCGGTGTAGCGCCAAATAATGTCAGTCATTATGTTTATAAGTCCTGTGAATGAATCTGCAAATTAAAATAAATGAAGAGACATTAAAGGAAGTAAACACATGACTGCAGGTGAGTCACAGAGGCAGGTGTGACCCGTGGAGGGGAGTGCTTGGTGGGTCTGATCCTGCAGTGTGCCCAGCTCCCTGCCACTGCTAAGGCTCCCCAACTTTTCCATGAGGATTTATCCAGTAAAATATCCATTATCTATATATAATAAAAGAGCTATTATCTATATGGAACAAAATATTTTAACGTAGGGTTGGAGAAGCTTTATGTTAGCATCTAAGTGTGTCAGCTTGATCCCTGCTGTGCCAAATATTGAACCACTTAATGCCCTTTTTTCTTTGTCTTTATTTCACTGTAAAAAAAAAAATGTCTCCTGCAAAACACCTAGGGTAATATCCAAATGCTACTGAAGTTAGTGGAATTTTTTTCAGGATTTTATTGTCAAACTTAATTATTTAATGACTAACCCTGCTCTGTCAGTTTAAAATTAACCTACTCATGCCTGAAGTCTTTCATTCTTTGAAATAAATACACCTCAGGCCATCTTTTTCTTTTGTAAGAAAATCTAAGGAGATATTCCAGCCTTTGTTCTGCTTCTTACTGAACAAATGAGAGCTCACAGCAATGCAAGTCTTGCAAAGGAATTGCATAGCTCGTACTGCTGTCATACATGTGGGTTATGCTACATTTTTGTCTTTTAAAACCAAGATAATAAAAAAGTTATTATCCTGACAGGGTAAACATTTTAAGTGCTGTTCATGGAGGGAAATGGTGTCAAGCCAGTGTCCTGCCATTTCGAGTAACCCAGCATGTTGCTTTTCTTGCCCAAAAGAAAGAGCAGGTTGGGAAAACATTTTGTGCGCTTTGTAAGGACAAAAACAAATATTACGAAGAAATCGCTTTGTATCATATTTAGAAAATTTAAAGTGGTGAGGAAAAATGTTTCATTTCAATGCCACCATTTTACACATTCAAAAACCATCTCTAAAGTTTACTGCGGTAAAGGCATCCTAACCCCCATATCAGGAGATTCTGGTTTGAAATACGTGCTTTTGGAAACAAGACATTCCAACAATTTAAAAAAAAATATTGTTTTGAGCTGTAAACACTTTGGACCAATATTTCCAAACACACAGATATGGGTTTAGCAAAATGTGATTATTCTAAGCTCTTTCGAACTACAGAAACTCCAAATACTTCTAACTTGAAACTGAGAAGTCAGCTCAGTAGTTTAGAAGAAGCAACTTGTTTTGCTTCATGGGAAAACTAAGATTATTTTCTCTGTGTCTGTAATCCTTTACCTCCTTTTTTTTTTTATTTTCCTCAAGGCTCAGTTCGAAATGAAAGCAGAAATATCATTGCTGTTGCTCATTGCCTCCCTCCTCATGACTTTATCGTTCAATTAATTCTGGTTTGCTCTTTCCTCTCCCAGCGTCTCTCCACCCAATTTTCCTTCTCTTCTCTCTTCCCCTGCCTCTGGAGGGAGGCTGGGTCAGAGATGACCTCCATGAGGTCCCTCCAGTCAACCCTTCTCTGGTGTCTGCTCTCACACCAGCCCAAGACTGCAGAAAATTGTGGTTTGAAACCTTATCTTAAATGTTGCTCACAAACTGGAGTGATGGGACAAGGGATGATTGTTCCTCTGATGAGTATAGTGGCTTTAAGACTTTACTGAATAGATTGCAAATGTGTGTAATTGAGGTGGTTTTTGAAGAAACTGCAGAGTGTGTTTCAAAAAGTGAAACATGTCCTTCAGCACTGGTTCAACACCAGGTCTTCCCTTTTCCTTACTTCTGTATTATTATTCATATCTTCTTTCTCTCTCCAGTAATGAAATACTCATTGGTTCCAAGTAATACACATCAGTAGAGCTTCACCTTGGGGTATCCTCCAGCTTTGGATGATCTGAGCATCCACCAAGCAGGTAGGAAATGGAGATTCAGCTTCCCTCCAGAGGAGAAGGCTGGGTGAAACTACTCTCCCTCCTACCCACCTCAGTGCTCTCTAGAGGAAAGGGAGGGAGAAGGGAAGGCATATCAGCAGTCTCTTCATTTCCCTCTTTTCACCACCATTTTGCCACCCCTTTCCAAGGTATTAAGAGAGTGCTTTGGAGGTGCTCTTCAGAGGATGCTCGACCAAAAGGTGGTCTCCAGGGCTGCACCTCATGCACCCCATGCCATATAGCTGCCAACCTTCTCCCCTAAATGCAGGGTGTGGATATCAGCTCCATCTTCATCATGCTACAGGCCAGTTCCCACCTCACATCATTGCCTTAAATATTTCAGGAGCTTTAAAGACAACTCAAAACTGTCTTTCCCTTGAAAGCCTTTGAGTGAGGTTTTTTCAAGTGTCTGCAGAGGCTTTTAAGCAAGGTTTACACTTCACAGCTTCTTTGTGCTGGCAGCTTCAGCTCCTCTGCCCCAGTGGTACATTTTAAGAGGTCTTTGAGCTGAGTTTCTGGATCAATGTGAAGGGCTTGACACCGCTCTCCTGCAAGCGTGTGCCCCAGAGCACCACACGTGTCTGCATGCCAAAGCAGATGCAGCTGGCTGTGTGTGTGTGTGTATGTGCCAAATTAGCCACTTCCTCAATACCCTTTAATTACAGAAACGTTCTCCTACACAATATCTTTAAGAGGTTTCAGAAATCTCTCATCTTTTCAGTCCTACCAAGTACCAGACTGACTTTTCTCACTCCTTTGTTCTTCTACTGCCTGCTTCAGATGATTTCTTATCCTAGTCCTTCAAAGGACTGGATCTCTCAATCTTTAGGGGATTTGGCATGCAGACTCAAGTTACTTTATGTAGGGCCACTAGGTAAATGATGTACCTCATATAGGTGATCAGACAGCTTGCAGGAAAAAAAAGCATCAAATATACAAAATCATACAATCATGTCATAGAATCATAGAATGGTTTGAATTGGAAGGCACCTTAGAGATCATCTAGTTCCAAATCCTCTGCCATGGGCAGGAACACCTTCCACTAGATCAGATTGCTCAAAATCCTGTACAACCTGTCCTTGAACACTTCCAGGGAGGGGACAATAATGAAAGCTACTGCTCACTGCTGTGTACATTCTCATGTCTTGTTTCTGTGCATCATATTCTGTTACACATCTATCGTTCACTCTCTAGTCAGCTAGCTGTTTACCCCTGTGCTAAGCATACACGTAAGCTCCAGGGATTAACAGCACTTCTTGCCCTTAATGTCCCATCTGGCCATTTCTTGCTTTGTGTTGCTCTCCACCTCCAGTGCCACAAGTAACTGATGCAAACCTTTATTAGTGATTTAGACAAGGAGAGTGCTGCTCATTATTCTGTTATCTTACTGCTTATCACAGCAGCAATAACTAGACTTTCACATTTTTCACACCTTCACAGCATTGCTTTAGCCCTCAAGCCCCCTTTCATGCAAAGCCCTGATGTGCCAGTGCTATGAATCTGATACACAGACCAAGAACTATGGGCAGAGCTTTAGTCACTGCTAGATGAACCCTCCTCGCCCACAGGGTCTTGCAATCCTCATTCACCACATAATTTGAGTTGCTGCAATAGAGGTTTGTGTTTAGAAGTCAGCTCATCTCAGCAGATCATACATGCCCTGGTTGCTTTCGGCAAACCTACACCTTGATATGTGTCACTGGATCACATCACTGGCATCTTAAATGGTAAATGTCATGTATAGGAAACCAACATAGCTGATACATTGCTTTAAACCTCGATGTCCTCTGCTGCTGGTGTCCTCACTGCTACTTTTTAAGCTGGTGGCTTGTATATTGGGTGTTTATGTTTTTCCACTGGTGACTGTTCCTGGGCCAAATAGCACCAAGGTCATTCTTGAAGCAGTGACCAATCAACCTTCACACATAACTGTGTGTTAGCTTGTCATTACTATTTCTTTATTAATTCTCTTTTATCTTTTTTTTCCAACAAGAAATGGTGTGTGTACTGTGGCCCTGTGTCTGCATTGCTAGGCAACTGTGTGGTTATAGACTCATCTAAATCCTCAGGAAAATAGGCAGAAAATGAATTAATGACATATAGTCTCTTTTGATAGAAAATAAAAATACCAGCAAATTATACTTTGTGTCTTTTTATGTAAGCCAAATGTATATTTACAAAATGGTCTAGGTAAAATAATTCTTTGTCCAAGAGCAGATGTGGCACTAGTGTGATGGGGACAATTCTTGTGTGGAGGTTCTTGAGGGGAGGGTTTCTGTAAACTAATTAAAAAAACTAATCAATGAGACTTCAATAATAATGGCAAGCAGAGGAAAGGAGGGAGGGAGGAAAGGTGGCTTTTCCTGGGGTGCAGAGGGAGAAAAAATCCCAGTGTATTGGGGTTTTCATGACTTAGAGTCACATGAACTGGGGAGGTCTGCAACCCATCAGCTGCCTCCTCCCTGTCACCACCAGTCCCCAAATGCAGAACTAGAATCTGCCTTTACAAATCTGTCAGTGTTTCAAAATGCAGCATTTTTAAAGAGCATTCATCGAAAACACCGAGACAATGACTGAAAAGGAGAAGCAGTCTGTTGTTCCTAGAGGAGACTGAAACATGTTGAATATAGTGCTATAGCATCTATGGCTGGGAAATACAGCAGGTACTGAGACAACCTGTGAAAATTCTGGGCCCTAAAGAGCGATTTAACTCAGGTCTCTGTCATGCTCAGCAAAATCCCTCTGTATTTTTTATGGGTATTGAGCACAGGAATCACTCAATGGGGAGGTCATGGCATCACTTGGGGTGGTGGATGTTGCCTCTTGTCACCAATGAGCACAAAACATGAAAAATAAAACACTGCCCTTAGAGGGACAAATCTGAATGTGGGCTTGCTGTTGCTGTGTGTGAGACAAATTTTCATGGCAAAAAAAAACCCCAACACCTTCACAGGGATAAAAGTCCATTATAGAAAGCAAATGGAGGCAATTAGTGATCTGACATGGGAACAGAGACTGGTTACAACTGTCTCAGTTAATCTGTTCATAGAAATTCATTGACTTGGTGGCATTGCCAAAGGAATGTACCTTATGAAGACTTCAGGATATATCTTTCATTACAACTAAGGAGGTTAAGACAAAAATCTGTGCCAGCAAGTCTGCAAGAAAATATCTCTATCATTTGATTATTAGTACTGACACCACTCTTCCCTTAAGGCATTTACCGTAAGGATACTGAAAATCTTTTCTGTCAGAAGTGGAGCGCAGATTCCTAGTAAGCTGCTGTGGGTTAAAAAGCCCCACATATCATCTCAGCTGAAGTTTGATCGCTTTTTTTTTCCTGAAGAGAACAGTTCTATTAAGTTGGATATAGTGATCCAGAACTCTTTGGTGAAGCTGTGAAATTTTCATCTCACTTCTCATATCGCTTCCAGAGTGATTCCATTTTAAGGAGGGATGTTTTCCTCTGCCGTGTTGCTGGCACCAAGCTGTGCAAGGCATCACAGCAGCAGCAATAGGGTGCAAGTTCCTAGTCAGGGCTGAGCATTTCACATGGCTCATTGGTCCTCACCATGTGCATTCCCATCACCTACCACTCCCTGAAGAGCATATCCTTGGGAGGAATCAGAATCATAGAATAATTAAGGTTGGAAAAGACCTCTAAGATCATCAAGTCCAACCATTAATCCAACACTACCATGCCCACTAAACCATGTCCTGAAGTGGCACACCTACACATTTTTTGAATGTCTCCAGGGACAGCAACTCCACCACTTCACTGGGCAGCCTGTTCCAATGTTTCACCAAGCAGCAGTTCGCTAATACTTGCCTGCAAAGAAGTTATAGACCTTTAAAAAACCAACATAGCATCACTGCCCTGTGACAGCAATAAGGTCCTGCCTGTGATTTTTGAAGCGATGAGGCAGCCATCACTGCTTTGCCATTGCTGCTTTATAACAAACTGGATGTGCTGTCAAGTATATATAATATCTTGGTCACAACAGCAGCTGCATGATTATTCTCATCTAAAAAAAATGTGGACTGTCCTGGAAATATTTTCTGTTGATGTAGTTCAAACATTCTGGTCATTATAGTCACTTCTTACAATCGTATTTTACTAGGCTCAGATATTGTTGATGTAGATACTTTAGTTTAAGAAAACCTTTTCTCCCTTGCAGCAAACTGTAAATCAGATTCCCTTGATGCTCAAACAGTGATATTAAGCGTTGCAGCTCAATTTTTGTTGAAACTTAGGCTTGCAAATACAGAATAGTAGAACAACGTTCATTCCCATTTTATACTTGCTTTGTCTCCCTTGTTTTTGCTGATGGCATGAACAAAAGCATATTGGTAAGACTGACTGGTGAATTGCCTTGTAAAACTCATCATGTGCAGAAAATAGCACATGGAAATGCATGCTAAGCTGTTTTCCATTAAATTTACAGCAGTGCCAGAACAGGCCCAAGATTTCATTTTATGTGGTCTGGATCTCAGTCCTAAAATTGAGCTGAACCTGTCCAAAAATGAACTTCTAGGTATTTAGTCTTATTAGAACAACTAATTCTCTGTAGCACCATATGTGATATCTTTGTCCTGAATTCCATAAATCCCATTATATCATTATAAGCATTTGGTAACCAGCGAGGCAAAGGGGTTAAATGAATGACCCTTGACAGAAAACCCATAAAACACCTGAATGTGAGTCATAAGGATCCACAGGTAAGGAATTACAGCATGAAAATGCTGGGTGTTTTGTGCTACAGCCCTTTGGAATGATGGGGAGAAGTGTTCTATTGTCAGTGGCACAAAGACGATCTAACTCAAGATAATAAATTGGTATCACTGGTTTAATATGTAAGAAGGGAAGAGCAAAAATCCCTACCTTCTTAACGTAGCTTTTTGTTTCAGTGCCTTTTAGTACATGGAACGGATTTTTCCAGCATAATTTCTATTTGATTGCAATTAGAAATGCTGCAGTACAGATGCTGGACTAAAAGGTGTTACTGGTGTACTTATACATCTAATGTCAAAAGTTTAAAGTCATGCCTTTTAGCTGAAGCTAATGAGATCCTAAATGATGATTCCGAGTACAACTTAGTCATTATGGCCATATTGCTGGCAGCACTATGTTCAGACAATCCTCTCTCTCAAAATTTACTACCAGCATAGGAAGTATCCAGGTAGAAAACACCACAGACCCACCGTCATTTATCCACAGAATTCAAACTCTCATGTAGAATAACTGTAAAATACTCTGTCAGCTGCCTGTACTTTCGGCAGGGAATCAAGCAGGAATCCGTATAATTCAGAGGCACCATGTTTTTCAAACAATTCAAATAGAAATCCACTTCCTCCTTCCCCCCGCCTTAATGTTGAAATGTTGGACCCAAGGGATTGCACAGCTTGGCTGCCAAGCACCTTTTATATAAAACCAAAACTAAATGTAGCACAACTGTCATTAGGATTTGAATGTCTGACGCTGAAGGTAGGAGAAACATAATCAGTCCTTCAGGACCACAGAACAATTCTGTAGCTGTCAAAACAAGAATTAAGCCTTCCTATAAGCTGGCATAAATTGACACAGCAAAAGCCGACTGCTGCCAGCATAAAGAATAAGTAGCATGGTCTTTTGGCTGTTGAGTGTATCTACAAAGCATACGCAGAGCTACCACCAGGACATGGGAAAGGTTATCAAAATATCAGCCATCCTAATGTCTGCTTTTGCTCTGGGGCCCCAAGGAAAATCCGGAGTTCACCTCTTGCCCTTCACCTTTCCCTGTGCTGCACGGTGTGTGCCAAGTGTGACAGGAATATAAAACCAACTGGTCTTGTGTTCTGCCTCATCAAAAAAAAAAAGAGTTGCTTTGAAGAAAGCTGTTTATGAAAAGATACGTTAAACAAGGTCAGTGTTTTGCCAGCCAGACTTAGAGACGGTTGCTGCTCTGTTTTCCCAAAACACATTACTAATATAAATTCAGGCGGTCTGTGGGCTGTGGCACAGCGTGGAGCTGCTGCATCAGGTATTTGCTAGTGTGACCAAGTCGGACCTCTCTGACAGTGCTGGATGGGGACACTCCTTCCTTGGGGTCCCAAAAAGTTCAACCTGAGATGGGCAAAAAGAACCCTCAAGAGATGCACAGGGCTTTCCTAAACTGGAGGTAAAGTTTCCCACCAGTGTCAAGAGACTTTGGATGAGATGTGATTTTTTTCATTCGAAGGTTGAGTTGGCCAGCACTGAGGTTGCGATCCCAACCCAAAACTGAAACCACTGCATGCTAAAATCATAAAGAAAATCAGGATTTTTTCAAAATATCTGACTTCTTTTTCTGACTGAAAAGGTGTGGGTATCTTTGAGACAGATAATCAGAAATTTTGATTTTCTCTGCAGGCAATTCAGTGAGATCAAGGAGGGTAAAAAGAATAAACAACAACTCATTTAAAAGCTAAAAATCAATTTACTTATGCCTTTTCCGCATTCTTTTGCTTAGCATCCTAGCAAAGTTTTTCTCAGACTGGCATGTATTCCTAAACAGTGAATGAATATGAGCTTTTGTATTTATTTAGGAATCAAACAAAAAACTTAACTCTGTGGGAAAAGCTTCATGCAGATCAAAATATCTTTCTCCACTTCTGGAGCAATGAATGGTCGACCAGGAAGGTATATGAATATTTCCAGTAACCTCTTAGGAAAAATAAATAGCATAAGCCACAGACTGTATAAATCCAACAATACTATCTTTTCAAGAGCGTTTTCTACAAAGCATAAAAAATGCATTGCAGAAACATTGTTTGCTGAAAACAATGCTAACCTGCCAAAGCACTTATCTGGAAATGTGTTTGATATACTAAGGAGTGAGTGTTAAAGGATTTGGAAATTTGAAAATGCATAGTGCTTTCTTGCAGAAGTGGTAGTCCATTTGTTTGTGACATTTCAGGAGGATCAAATTAGTGCTGAGCAAGAGAAAAATATTTTTTGTGACATTCTTTGTATACAAAAAGGTCCAATAAAAGAACTGAAATAATTTCCTTTTCCAGATCCTTTCAAATCTGCATTGACATTATAAACAATGTAAGTGAAGCACGGTGTTATTTAAAAGCATACCTGTAAGGGGTATGGTTCTGGAAGTGCTGCTTTGTTTTTCTGATGGATCCTGCCGAATCAATTTTTTCCAGTCTATTTGTATTAGTTGGGTAGAGCATTCACAGAAATGCAATTGTGTATTGTAATTTCACTTGGATCACAGTCATTTTCTTTCTTGCATTTCCCAAGCAGCCTTCTAGAAAATACAGTGGTAATGGTATGCAGCGGTGGATATCGAACTGCTTGCAAACCACTCAGGCAGCTCATAAAAACATTATTAAAAAGCAAATGCCCTTTGTGCTCATAACTTCTAAACCACACGAGCTGAAGTGCTTTAATACTTCTAATGCGTTGTAATGTATTGAGATGTGCTCGGTTGAAGCTGGTGCCGTGGCTTTCCAGCTGACAGCTTTACACTCTCTCGTCCATCAATGATTTGATTTGACTCTGACTCACCCTCCAGCTCAAGAAGATGGGTGTCTGAGCGTGGTTTGCTGGGAAGCTCGATGACTGGCAGGTGGTACATATGCTCCTCCTGGAGTGGACTCTCATCTTCTACAGCAGGAACCTTTTCAGAACGTGTTGAGGTACCTCCCTGGCACCAGTGAGCATCCTCCTCCCAGACCACAGAGGATCTGGAGATGCCCAGTCCTGCAAAGGTGCTCTGGCTCACCTGAAAAAGTGAGCTTGTCCCAAAAAATTAGGTGTCCTGGAAAGCTGTGAAGGCCACAGAGGGAAAGA